GCCATACATAGCCCTATATAGCCATATACAGCCCTACATAGCCATACACAGCCCTACATAGCCATGCATAACCCTACATAGCCATGCATAGCCCTACATAGCCCTACATCATGATCTCTGAAGTGTTTAAAAAACTGCAGGAAGTTAATGTTGCAAAGGCGACTGGTAATGACAACATCCCAAACAAGATTTTAAAAATAGCGGCTCCAGTTATTTCTGTATCGTTAGCTGACCTTTTTAACCTCTCGATTACTATAATACTTTTCCAGATGATTGGAAAGTTGTAAAGGTCTTTCCGCTATTTAAATCAGGTAAACGTAATGATCCAAATAACTTTAGACCGATCTCTGTCTTACCAACTATAGCCAGAGTTTTTGAACGATTAGTTTATGAGCAGATGTACACTTATTTTACGGAAAATAACCTTATTCAGCCTCGTCAATCTGGGTTTAGATCTCTTCACTCATCTGTAACTGCGCTTCTAGTTATAACAAATCAATGGTGTCTTGATATTGATAGAGGTATGGTCAGTGGTGTTATTTTCCTTGATCTTAAGAAGGCATTTGACACTGTTAACCATGCTATCTTGTTGAAAAAACTGTCTGACTATGAAGTGCAGGGTCAAACCGCTTCTTGGTTCAAGTCTTACCTAAAAGACAGACAGCAATTTTGTGTGGTAAACGGATTTTCGTCTGCAAAAAGTCGTATCGTGTGTGGCGTTCCTCAGGGTTCTTTATTAGGCCCACTCTTGTTTCTTATTTACATTAATGACTTACCAAATTGCTTAGATTATAGTATAGGAAGGTCATTTGCTGATGATACAAATTTAACGTTCTCCGCCGTGGATTTATCAATCCTTCAGACTGAAATGAGCAACGACCTTAATATAATTTTTAATTGGCTCAGCTCAAATGAACTCACATGGAATATTCTAAAACCAGATTTTATGGTGATAGGTTCTCGGCAGAGAATTGCAACATTCGCTGGAAATATTTCATTAAGCGTGAATGGTTTTACGTCACAACAAGTCGAAACTACAAGGTGTCTTGGTCTCACTATCAACCAATTTCTTATTTTACTTATTGTTGCATTGTTTGGTATAGCATTGGCGAGACGTTGGTAGACAGTCTTCAAAAGTTGCAAAGTAGGGCCGCTCGTGTTATTACAGGTGCTTCATACTCAAAACATGCAGCTGATATTCGGCGTGAACTTGGGTGGCTCTCACTTGGTGAAATGAGACAACATCATATGGCATTAATGATGTTTAAAGTAAATCATGGCCTCTGTCCCTCTTATTTGTCTGACATGTTTGACGTTAATACAAGCCTGCTCGGTTATGACCTTCGCTCTTCTGGAATGAATCTAATAGTGCCAAAGCAAGAACAAACTATTTTAGGAATAGTTTTGCTTCTGTAGGCGCTAAGCTCTGGAATTCTCTCCCTTCCAGTTTAAACGAAAAGACTTCTTTAAAACAATTTAAGACTAATATCAGGTCGTATTTACTATCTACACAAGCCTCATAATTTTAGTTTTCATCATTAGGTTTAACATTGTGTACGATCTTTCTTAGTTTAGTTTTTTTGAGATATATATCTATATCTTTATGTAAGTTAAACAATGCACGGCTTTAAGGTAGAATAGATGCTTTATGTAAAGTTATTTGATAAAATTACCGTGGGTAAATAAAGTTTTCACTCACACTCACTCGCACTCACATAGCCCTACATAGCCCTGCATAGCCATACATAGACATACATAGCCATACATAGCCCTACATAGCTGTACATAGCCGTACATAACCATACACAGCCCTACATAGCCATACCCAGCCCTACATAGCCATACATAGACATACATAGGCACACATAGCCAAACATAGCCCTATATAGCGATACACAGGTGTTCTTGGTGTTCAAGCCTCGTAATGTAGTCTCTTATGATAACGCAGGGCTATTTAGGACTATGTAGCGCACTGTCCGGGTATGCAGGGCTATATTAGGGTTCTGTAGGGCCATGTAGCGCTATTCTGGGGCTATGTACAGCTATGTAGCTTTGTGTAGTGATATTAAGGGTTATGTAGAGCTATGTAACGGTATGTAGAGCTATGTATGGTTATGTAGGGTTGTGTAGGGATTACTAAGGGAAATTTGTAAAATCCAGCTAGTGCTCTGTTATCAGTGTTGCGTTCCGATTGGGTGAGCTTCTACTAGGCTATATGTTATAGCCCACTGGTAGCGAAAAGCGCAGGCTGTGAAAACCAAAACAATGGCGGCTAAATCGCGTTTGCTACCTACAGTTGTTTTGTCTGGATATTTTTGACCAACTAGTTGGATTTTACTAAAACAATTATTCCTCTCGCCCTCATGTTCTCTGAGTCAGTGCCTCATTCAGCTATGTAGGGCTATGTATGGCTATGTATGGTTATGTATGTCTATATATGGCTATGTATGGCTATGTATGGCTATGTAGGGTTATGTATGGCTATGTAGGGCTGTGTAAGGCTATGTATGGCTATGTAGGGCTGTGTATGGCTATGTATGGCTATGTATGGCTATGTATGTCTATGTAGGGCTATGTATGGATATGTAGGGCTATGTAGGGCTATGTAGGACTGTGTATGGCTATGTACGGCTATGTATGGTTATGTATGGCTATGTAGGACTATGCATGGCTATGTATCGCTATGTATGTCTATGTATGGCTATGTATCGCTATGTATGGCTATGTAGGGCTATGTAAGGCTATGTATGGCTACGTATGTCTATATGAGGGAGTGTGAGTGAAACCTTTATTTACCCACGGTAATTTTATCTAATAACTTTACATATAGCATCTGTTCTACCTAAAAGCCGTGCATTATTTAACTTACATAAAGATATAGATATATATCTAAAAACTAAACTAAGAAAGATCGTACACAATGTTAAACCTAATGATAAAAAATTAAAATTATGAGGGTTGTGTAGATAGCAAATACGACCTGATCTTAGCCTTAAATTGTTTTCAAAAAGTCTCTTCCTTTAAACTGGAAGGAAGAGAATTCCAGAGCTTAGCGCCTGCAGAAGCAAAACTATTCCTAAAATAGTTTGTTGTTGCTTTTGGCACTATTAGATTCATTCCAGAAGTATGGAATGAAGACCTATCTACGGCGGCTATGAAGGCCTATCTATGGCTATGTATGGCTATGTAGGGCTATATAGGGGTATGTATTGCTATGTAGGGCTTTGTATGGCTAAGTACCTCTAGGTATGGTTATGTATGGCTATGTAGGACTATGTATGGCTATGTATGGCTATGTATGGCTAGTGTCTATTTATGGCTATGTATGGCTATGAAGGGGTATGTAAGGCTATGTATGGCTATTTATGGCCATGCTGGGCTATGTAGGGCTATGTACGACTATGTATGGCTATGCACGGCTATGTATGGCTGTGTATGGCTATGTAGGGTCGTGTATGGCTATGTATGGCTAAGTAGGGCTATGTATAGTAGGATTGCCTCTAATAACTAAGGTCAAACCACTATATGATGATTACACCACGTACCACTGACGAGTTGCTATGACGTAACAAAACGTATTTCTGCGGTGCCGATTCCACTACAGGTAGCCATTCTGGAGAGGTTTCATCGTAGTAAAACGGTACATTTAATATGTTTGCCCTCTTATTGAATATTCTATTTTCATCTTCTTCAATTATTTTACAATTTACAAGAAAAATTAAAAAATCCTCTCTGATAAGCATTTACAAGTAGCCACTCTTTTAAACTCAACTTAATGTAAGTCTGAAAAGAATCGTTGTTGTTTACTAAAAAATTTGAATCCACAAAACACTCGATTATATATATCATGTGCCTTTTAACGAAAAAAAAAAAACAATGTAGGTTTGCTTTCTATAGTTACAAGAACATTTTGCTTTTGTAAAATTTATCAATGTATATTTTTTATTTTTTCCATTTAAACTGAGTTTCCACTTTAGTTGCAAATTAAATCGATTATCTGAAATATTAGGAGTTTAAGGGCCTGTTTACATGGAGATGGGGGACCCCAGATAGGTGACGTAACATGTGGCGGGTCACCCCATCTATCATGTAAAGATGTAAACCTGATCATATTAAAATGAGATATTATATGGACAGGCGGGTCACCGCACCTAAGCGGGTTACCCCACCTTACTGGGGTCCCCCACTTCCTTGTAAACAGGCCCTAAGTAGCCAGGTATAAATCTTCTTTAGCGACTATAGAACAGCTTTCAGTGTTGTGTGAATGTTGTTTAAACGACTTACCGCCCTCTTGAAACACCTCATGTGGGGACAAAGTATGTGTTTCTTTAAGAAAGGTGTCTGTATGATAATATGGTATGAAAAGAAACCTCGTTTAATTTAGATTAATATTTGGTAAACGTTTAATGCCGTGACGTTTAAATTATTCTGAGGCCACTCAATATTCAATAATCCACCCTCTTAATGTTTGGTTTAAACAAGAGCCATAATGTCCCATTTTGGTTTAGATTATAAAATTGTGATCAATTATTTTGAAATTTTTTTATGTAAAGTATTTATCTCCAACCTGTCCCTCGCTCCTTCACGCTAGCGTGAGGCGATTTGTGGCTGAAAAAAGTGTGAGATCTATGCGAGCGTCTTGTTAAAAGATGATACAAGCACACAGGCATAAGAGATAAACGATCTAGCATTTTATTGTTAAACAGTTACATAAAAGTGATTATATCAGTAGGTAAATATTTCTTATTCTAACAATTACTTCTAACCGTCTTTTACCTGTAGTAATCATAACCCAAAAAGTACAGGTAATCTTTTTGGTTTGTCTCCCTTCATTGACGCAAAGTAAGTTATTCATAAAAGGTCAAAAAAAAGAGATTATGTAAATGATTATTACTGAATGTAGAACATGAATTATACCCTGCCTTGCACTGACTGATAGTTTCAGACCCATAGCAAGTGGTTCTAAAAGTCTTGTATTGGATTGACTGTTTCCTCTCGTTTAACATCTAAATGACTACATAATTACACTGTCTGTGTATTTATTATTATTCATTCAAAATATTTCGCTGTTTCTGAATGGCTTTTATCCACGGCTTATTCTTCATAATCTACTGGGGCGCTGACCGTATTCGACTATGGTATTCCCTGAAGTCTAATGGCAAACTATAACATAAAAGTCCATTCTGTCTGGTATATTAATATTATACAAACATTGGCACTATACCAGAAATACGTGTCCCGCAACATTTGTACGTGACTTTTTAATATCGTGAGATAAACGATAGGAGACTCTACACTGGATGAACAAGGCTACCTAGTTAAGCCATGACGGGCGAGGTCAATGGATAGGTGACCGACCACAAATTCCCTTTCCCGTAGACTTCTTTTCCTTTCTTTCTTTCCTTTCCTAATTTAATTCTTTGCTGGCGGTTAGATTGGATGGAAAACAAACGTTCAAGTTCAAATACAAAATCCACTAGTAAGCTACAACAGCCGTATCCTGCGAACGGCAGACGTTTCTCCTCGCTCATCGCCGCTGAGGGACGTTTCGCGAGGAGGAACGTCTGCGACTCAGCGACAGAAATTCCATACAGATGACGCAAAATCTGTCCGGAATCCGGTCAGAAGCTCTAATTGGTCGACGGAGTAGTTTCATTGTTCTAGCTATTGTTTATGAATAACAGACAAAAGACAAAAGGCTGCAAAGGTCAAATGTAAACGCGATGAGTCTCTAACAAAACAGTCAATATTTGTGGAATATAGTGTTCTCTAGAAGAAGCATTTGAGTTTTTCTGGAGCTCATTCGCAGATGAACACAATACTTTACCAAAATCGACCAGGGGAAATGTAAAATTGAACAAATTTGCATTTGGAACCCCATGACTACCGGATTTATTTTGTAAACATTGATTTACTTTATCAGTATGGAATTTCTGTAGCTGAGTCGCAGACGTTCCTCCTCGCGAAACGGTTCTCAGCGGTTATGAGCGAGGAGAAACGTCTGCCGTTCGCAGACTACAACGGCCGAAGAACGGAACAGAACTTAGGCAGTCTCCAATTCCTAAGGTGGAAAACGCGCCAAGTTGATTTTTGAGTTGCTTCGGTGTAATGTGAAGTCAAAGGTATATTTCAAGGACATAAGCTAGAATTGAGGAAGGCAAAAAGTCGATCTTTCCGACTCAGCCGACAGACGAAAACCCGTCTGCAAAGTGAGACCCTTCACAAATGTTCCCTTACCGCGATTTTCGCTCTCATTTTGAATCTGATGGTCCAAGTCACTTTTTTCTTGAAGATACGAAATTCGTCACCAAAAGTGCAAAAAAAAAAAATGGTTAATAACTTTGTAAAAAAACGAAAATGAATGTCGTTACTGCAGTGAAATGAATGTATTTTCACAGCAATGACCAGCGAAAGGTTCATGAGAGATGTTCCTTGGCAGCTTCGTTAAGGACTGCTAATGCTGCATCTTCCATTGTTTTCAGGCAGTCCTTCAGAGCCAGATATGTAGTACCGAATGACAATGCGCTGGCAATTACTGAACCAATAAAAGGGAGAAAAATACGAGCCCCTTCCTCTGCGGCCGCCTCTGTGGCATAGGGTGCCAACCAAGCGGCGCTTTTTGTGGCTAATTGCACAAATGACGAGGCAATTGTAACTTTGGCTTGCGTAGTATCGGTCAGCATCTTAAATGTGTCTGATGTTTCGTCAGGCAGACCAAGCTTAGATCTGTAAAGTTTTAGTTCTTTTACAATCATAGCGATATCAGCTGCTGCAGAAACACCAGGAATCGGGGGCAGAGCGGCTACAGCAGAAGCTGCGGCAACGTACCATATTCGTTGTTCGAGGGCTTCGACTATTATCTTTAACGTTTCAGTTGACAAGCGATTTAGAATGCCAAGAGACAAGATGAAACTCTCGCGCTTTTCTTTGGTTGGCAAAACATCTCGAATGGCTTTTACGAGCCCACTGAATTCCCCTTTTTCATCATCCCTGCTGCTTATCAGAAATATATCTTGCTCATTGCATCCTATCCTTTTACCCAGTATTTTTAGGCAGTCATTTCGTACTTTTACAAGCACATCTTCTCTACTGATTGAGCCTGGTTCATTTGAGAAAATTTCGTTTGAAATATCCAGATCGATTTTCGAGCGAACGAAGAAGAACTTCTTTTCACTCGAAGAAATGGCTTCCACCAGAGTTGAGATGCCTTCAGGGATTCTTGTCGCCATGAAGATGAGATACATGTCGTACTTCTTCAGACCTACCTCCTCGACGTACTTCTCTGCAGGGAAATTATCGGTCCCTATTCCTGGTAAATCCCAAAATATAATGTTGGGATTCTCTGGGTAGGGATATTGGAGCGCTTGATAAGTGCAATCAGTTTCAACACTAGCCTTGGCTGCTCCTGGTTGATAGTCTTTAAGTCTGTGATAGAATCATTAATACATTTAATGAGTTTATTTGTGGTTGATACGGTAAAGAAATTATCATATTAGCGAACTTAAGCACAATACATTCTTGGTACCACGGACGCCAACCGGAAGTATTTTTGAAGCGTTACAGCCACTGCGCATGTCAAGACGTTCTTGAGCTGCGGTCACGGACTTCAAAACGTGAGTTCTCAGGTTGAAACCAGAGGTTCAAATTCTGGGTTCTTCGAAGAGTATTCGTCATACAAAAGTATAAATTCTTCGTCTGAAATCATCTTTTCTTCTAAAGAAAGAAACAAAACTTAACGCAAATCTTTGAAAGGCATTTTCAACTTAATTATTCTGTCGGCGTTCGTGATAGTTTCACGTTGTTTTGGTTAATTATTTGCATTCGCCACTCAAAGCGCGTCCCCGATCCAGTTCTGCGCGGCCAGCCAGGTCTTCTGTGAATCAAGAATGTCTGGTGCTTAAGTTCCCTACTGTAATTGAACACATACTTGATCATGTTGTCATTGTTTCTGACACATCAAATTCAGCTTTTGTGAGTACGAGATACTTCCGATTAAGAGGCCTTTTGCATTAGTTGATCACGTGATCAACTTTCCGTAAACACGAAACAGTTCGCCTTTGAAACGTTTTATAAACAAGAGCTGAACGAGCATATTAAAATTAGGTAACCTATGAATTTGCAGCCGTATATCTCTAGTAGACTGTGAGCAGTCCGCCTTTTCTCTTAAGGTATCGTCCAGGGTAAAAAATCAATTTTTTCGAAATTTGCAGTTTTTAGATGATTAAATAGAGCTCATCAAGAGCTTTCTTTGTAAAAAATTTCAGGAAATTTTTTTTTCTCTGTGCAGACTTATAGAGCGCAAAAGTTTTTTTCTATGTTAATTCTTTTAATTGATCGTTGACAAGTCCTGTCATACTTGACGATACAAGTCATACTGATACGCATTCCGCTGTTGAACCAAGCTAATCACTCAATTCGACAGAAATCGAGGTTTACAGGTAGAGTGCTCACTGTTTTTTCCTGGATTTTGGAAGTGAATGGTAATGCCTCCAAAGAAGAAAAAAAGGGCTTGTACACGTATATTTAACTGCGTACATTATGCAGTGGCACAAAGAAGCCATTCAATTGATTGGTAAACAACAACAACAACATAAACTTTATTTATACTCGAATTTTAGAGCAGCTAACAAGCTAATATCTTCGAGCTGACACTACATGAAAAAAAAAAAACACCTACATGTAAAAAACCTAAATGCTATGGTATTAAAAAATATCGAGCTTTACGATACCCCCTCTGATATCTAAAAACTACAAGTCACATTTACAAAGCGATTGAGTTTTAAACTGACATTCAAAGGACACAGCATAAGGTATTTAAATCCTGCTTCTACCAAAGACGCGATAAAATGATACCCAAAACCGCTGTCAGATCTGGCCGTAACAGCTGAACATTATACTCTGACATCGCGTAAACCTATGTACGGAGTTTTTAAAAGCAGATACCTAAGATTTAACAGCAGCTGCGGAAGTTCGTTACAGTTTTGAGCAGACATATCTCCTCAATAAACGGGCATCAAATTCAACAGGAATACGTGCGTATTGAATAAATTGTCTGCTCAACTTACAAAAATTTTCCCCAGCTGAACATAAACTATACCGTGCAGTATCTTGGTCCGCTATATCGTCGTTCAAATTTTAATGTGTAAAATTCCTAAAAAAGTTATCCTCACTGGTGCAATACGAAAAAGGTTTTCAAAGGATTCACGCCGGTAAAGATGTGCGGGCTCTTAACCCTTGAAAGTTTTTACTTTGAAACCTTTTCCCGCTGTGTCACTATTGTTGTGCCTTCTCTGGTATGCATCAACATTGACAGTTTTGGTGTTATAATCTGTCATAATCTCATCACGGGTAATACGCCGCCAAAAATCTTTTTCCCCTGTTTTCTCGAAATTAAAGGGACTGGTTCACGATAATGCGCATGTGTGAGTTCTGACAGTAGGTGATTGTTTTTCAACCAATCGGAAGCGAGTTAGATGCACGCAAGTAGATTTACAAAATTCAAATTAATTGTTCGCGACGCGAGAGTATTTCCGGGCATTTGGTTTGAATTTATTTATCCCCATAATTCAAGTTTATTCTTTGCTACTCCTCAGATATATGTTGCAGCCGATAAGAATAAGATTTACAGCCCTGTCTTGCTTTGAAACAAACATTTACCAACGTGTATTTTTACGAGGTCGTACCCACGCTAACAAAACAGTCACCGATCGGCAAACAAAATTTGTAAACAAACATCTTATTACTGTTCTCTCAGTTCGCCTTATATAAACCCAGAAATACCTACAAATAGCGCCTGGCCGGTGACAAAAACACACAACGTATGAGTATAAAGATTATCCTTAATTGAGCATAAATTTCAATTGCTTATCAGCAAATGAACAAATTCATTCGCGTTGCATCGGGTCAATGTTGCGCAAAACAAATGTTATCGAGTAGCACACATAAAGAAACTAGATTATAAACAGAATATTCAGGCAATAATTTATTTTAAAAACATCAATTCTTAAACATATACGATCGTAAAGCAAAGATACAAGGAACATTTCAAGTGTACCAGATCGGTAAAGATCGCGCGGCCTGTTGCGGTATAACTACAGGTCGGAGTCAAAAATCAAATCAAAGTTGAACGAACTCCTGCCTTTAACCACTTTCCAAGTCTCGTGTATTCTTTTCGTATGCCACACACTACTCCTAAAACCATACCAGTTCGAAAGGCTAAGCTTCTCTATCTCCAGAGACTCTTGAGAACGTCCTGTTGCCGGACGGCCACGATGCTTTACTGAACCTCCATGATCAAAACATTATTTTTTGCGTCTTCTTAAAACGCAACCAGTCAAACGACACAACCACACGTTAATCACCACTACCGAAGTATAACTAGACCAGCCAAAGCGACGGATGTCCGAATAAAACGAAGGATTTTCAATGATTGTACCGGTAATGGCGATTTCGAATTTAGTGTTGACCCAACAAATTTATTCTGAAGAGACAAACGGCGCGCATGCGCATTATCGTGAACCAGTCCCTTTAAAATCAGGGCAAGAGGGTTCATTTTAAACGAGAACTGTACAATCCTTTAGCCTTTATCTCGTTCCAAGACGTTGTTTTAACTTAAAATCGAATTTCTACCACTTTATAAACAAATTCATTGTAATTATTATTATGTTTTTTCCTCTCGAACTCTTAGTAACTTAATTAATCAATCCCCTTATTAATTAAGACTTTCAGTGTATTGAAACTATCTGTTTTGCTCTACCCGCCTAGATTATCCCAGTGCCGTAAATTTTCCTTTAAAATACTGAAATAAACTTGAACTTGAAACTTGAAGGTGAGATAAACAGTAACAAATCTAGCCTAAAATTCATCCGATTGCTTCGAGTCGTTTTCTCCTCTCAACAACGTCTGAATCGACCGGCCGTTAATGCCGTCCAGTGACGTCACTCACTACCCCAAACACCGGGTAGTGATTAGTGATTGGTTGATTGCCTAAACATTCGCATAATTATGTATAATTATGAAAAATTTTAGCGGGATTGTCGCTTGATATTCAGCGGATCGCATGCCTGGCCTTGTTTCGTTTAGTTCAAACATTTCGGTAAGCTTAATCTTTATGTTAAACAGCAAAATTGCCCTTCTCTTCGAAACTGAAATGCTAAATTGAACTGCGAATGAAGAATCATTGCGGAGAGTCGGTAGGTTTTTCATTTAGAGCCGCTTTTGTGGTTTCGGCGGCCGGTGATTTTGTTTACTCGAAGTTTTCTGAGATCAATGTTATAATTCGACCTTCTTGCTATTTTTACCGTCAAGTGTAATGATTGTCTTAGCTTTTCTTTCTTTGTCTCCTTGTTTTTTTTCTTCGTTAAGGACCAAATAGCTTCTTTTCAATTAATGCAAATCATTGTGTTTTTGAACTAAGTGTTCCGTGTGTGTGTTTATTTCATTGCGTGATTGCGACCGAGTTTGATTATAGAATTTAGTACAACCGGTTCAGAGTTGTACTGCATTCAGTTGATAGTTTGAACGTTAAACATGAATTAAGATAGATAAATAGCAGTTTTGTATCATGCAGACATTTCCAAACGACATTTCTCGGTTTGCCACTTGAAAATCGTGTTTTACTTTTTGCATGAATTAACGCAAAGGTCAAGGAGTAGTGACGTCACTGGACGGCATTAACAGCCGGTCGATTCAGACGTTACTGAGGGAGTAATAATGACTCGAAATAATCGGATGAAATTCAGGCTATAACAAATCCATTGTTGCCTACAGTGTTCCAGCGTCTTTGCTCAAAGTTCTTAAGACTTGTATCGTCCCAATTCTCTCGTCCCTGTTGATTAATGATTCTTTTCTCTGTCGCATTTTCCCATACAATGGGCCCTTTGCAGGTTTCCATTCACGTGGTACAAAACGGCATATTGGAATGTAAAAGTCGCACTGGAACAAGACAAACAAAGGAACAGCTGAAGGAAATTACCATGTAAAATCATGTATGCCCTTTGTTGGTCTTGCCCCAGTGCGACTTTTGCGTCCCAACATGCCGGTTTTGTACCACGTGAATGGAAACCTGCAAAGGGCTAATTCGACATACAACATAAATTGTGTATTTCTTGAAAGTATCCATATCATGGCCCCCGACGGAGGACAAATTTTGTTTCAGACAAGCCCCCCCCCATCCTCCTGGAATTTCCTTGATTGTTGGCATCTACAGAGCTCGAAAACTATATCGAAGTTCTTAGAAATTTCTAGGAAGCTTACGGTGTGGCAGAGAAGACGTTTGGGAACAAGCACGCCATCAGTTATTGTATCGCGCCGTTCGCGCTCGGAGTGGACTGAGACTACTAAGTCCCACCTGACTAGCTTTTAGTGTACCGCTATGATTGCTTTGTTTTATACTAAATTATAAAGCACTGGGAATGGAGCTCAAAATTCGTAAAGACACGGAGGAAGCAGAGATAAGGTCACGTGAGTTGGCAGAAATTGCTAGGGAGGAATAAAATGAGAAAGCTAGAATAAGAGCAAAGGAACGGATGGAAGAATTGTTAGCTCGAAGAGACCAGAAAGAACCTGAGACATATGTAGTGACTGCCGTGAACATGGAAGATCGCCCGACTGGAACCATAGCAATAGTAGCGCTTCGCAAAACAGCAGAAATGAGCAGTAATGAGTTTCCACGCTCCACTTTCCCATAAATTATTTTTATACAATTATTTCTGATTAAAAAACTTTGCTTTTGATAAATTTTTCGCACATAAAAAAAATAATGTTTACTAATATTAATATAGAATGTATTGTGAAGTAATTAATGATGAACATAAAAAAGAATATAGTGAATGTCCATTTTGTAATACAAAAATTAGAAGAAACAAAAAGCACAAAATCAAAATGTTGCGACCGTCCAACTTTAATCAATGATTCACATGTTGTATATACAAACTGTGGTAAAGTAAACAGTTACTTAGCACCTAATGAGTTTGTGGATTCTATGAAAATAGATATAGAACTAGGAGTAATCGGAGCTTAGGAGAGTGCGTTCGATATGTTTTTTAGGCTTACAGGTAGCAGTTGAGGGGGAAGGGTGGTTGCGATGTAGATAAATATGATTATGGCATATTTTGAACGTAAGGGTTGCGTACAGCGAAACCTATGTTTAAACTGTTTATCATTATAAGAAGGTTTTGAAAAGATATCGTATTGTTCGGTGTCAAGTGCTTGTAATCGGAGGAGACATTGGCCAGAGTGTGTCGGGCGTGTAAATAGAACATTTTGTTTTACTGGCGCGATTACAGGGCGCAGTTGCTCAAAGGCCGATTAGTGCTTAACCCGGGATTCTTTTTCTTTCTTCAAAAACATTTCTTCGGATAATTTCAAGTTCTCTGTTATTTTTAAGAGCATGCAATCATCAACTTGTTGGAATTAAATGGAATTTACTGCTTTCACATCGGTGAATTCAAACTTCGCACAAACACTATCAAAGCCTTCAATGGAATGTGTGTGCGGCTCACGTCAATAACTTTTCCAGTAATTTGGTCGAGCGTGTTGATTTCAGTGACTCGAGAGTGGCGCTACTGTGGGCTGGTTTATAAGTTTTTCCTAATAAATATAACATAGAGTTAAAGTGTTCGTTTGTCCAGTGCCGAAAATATCACAAGTCACTGCCTTTTGTAACTTTAAATTCATCATAAAACAGTTCGAAAGGAGCTCTTACTCGTGAAATGCTTTTCAACACTAGAAGAGAAATTTCGTGTCTCTGCGTTGCCACGTAATATCCTCTATTTATTCCTCGAGTAAATTAAAGACTACACTTGAAGTGATCTCAAGGTATCACGAAGTAGTCCTGTCTCATTTCGTGAAATAGCCGAAACAAGCCTAAAAGTCACGAACTTGCACGCCCAATCTTGTCCCGAAACTAGTGCATCATTTCATAACTATTTTTCATATTTCGAACTACCCTGGGTGGCAGTAGCACACTCGGCTAATCCCTCAACTCCTCTGATCTGACGGGTCACACAGGTGACAACAACAACAACAATACCTTTATTCGCCTTGCACTTAATTAATTACATATATGAAAGAGCAAAAATATATATATATTTATTTGTACTTAATAAGGCCTGGAGCTGAAATAATCCTAAGATTTTCTAGCCTGTTCTCCAGAATCTAAAGTTTTAGAGAACTGAGAGAGAATTTATTATCAAAGAAGCAGTTTTAAAATACAAAATTGTATTAAGAAAGAAAGAGTATATGCTTAAGTTATGTTAACTATGTTGTTCTGACAGCAAATAAAGTTTCAATTGTTTTTGGAATTGGTATGTGTTTAGTCCTTTAAGAGTTAAGGGAATTTTGTCCCAGACGGTACATGCAGCATATCCGATTGTCTGTTTCCCCGTATTAGTTAGCACTTATTTTACGTAAAGATTCTGTTTCGATGCATATCTGGTATTGTATTTGTGGACATTACTGGCATATTGAAAATAGTTTGAGAACAGCTTTGGCAGGAGGCCTTTATGCCAGAGGTACGTAAATTTTAGAATCTGAAATCGGTAAACATTATGTACGTAAGAACGTCTAATAAATTTAGTAGGGGAAGTACACTTTCTGTGTGCTCACCATAAGTGGTGGCAAAGAAAATAAGCCTAGCAGAATGATTTTGCTTAGCTTGTATCTTATCAATATGTGTTTTGTATGCACTCCCCCATGCTAATATTACATAAGAGATATATGGGTATATTAAGGTGTAATAGATTTGTTTCATTTTTAGAAGAGTTAGGTAATGTCTCAGCTTAGATATAATACATTGTTTCGCGCAATTCTTGTACAGATGTATGAAATATGGTGATTGAAAGACATCGTTTCATCAAGCAAGACACCTAGATATTTTACTTTTTGCTTCCTTTGCAGCACATTTATTGTACCATCTGCACTTTCAATCTTGATATTTACTTGGGCATCTTCTTTCTTTGACGATTTAATGATCATGAAGTTTGTTTTATTGAAATTAATTGACAATCTATTTACATCACACCATATTTTCACTTTTTTAAGTTCAGAGTTACTATTTCATCAAGATCTTTCAGGTTGCGGGCTGAGGCAAAAACGTTTGTATCGTCCGCAAATATTCTAAATGTTAGAGCATTTGAACAGTTTGGTAAATCGTTTATGTAGATTAAAAATAATACTGGGCCTAGGGAACTCCCTTGTGGAATACCGCACGTCATTGTTTGCTTTGACGAAACTGTATTTCCCATCTGTACATATTGCTGTCTATTTGTGAGATGTGAAAGTTGGAGAGGCACGCCGCGTATCCCTTAGCGTTCCATTAAGTCCAAAAACACGCCACAGGAATACAAATTGTTATCTATCGCATCACGTAAATTATCAGCAATTTCTGCGATGGCTTGTGAGGTTGTATGTCCCTTTCTAAAGCCAAATTGGAACTCGTATAGGATTTTATGCTTTTCCAAGTAATTCACAAGCTGTTCACAAATGATTTTTTCGAAAATTTGGGTTAGTGCAGAGAGTGTAGAGATAGGTCGATAATTAAAAGGATCCATCTCTTCACCCCCTTTATCTATTGGTGTGACTTTTGAAACTTTAAAATTTTCCGGAAATATCCCTTGCAATAGAGATTGATTGAAAACCATACTTAATGCCTCATATATATGGTTTGCTGCGTATTTTATGCATCTTCTTGGAATATCTAATGCCGACTTGTCTACTTTCAAACTCATTATTTTGTCATATACTTCAATTTGGTGTCATAGTTCTATCTAAATACTTCTCGTGAACATGACTATTATCTTTGGTGGTGCATCTTCTTTAAAAGTTGGCAATGGGTGAGAGGTCGCTATATCTTCCTCCTTCACTTGTACGCCGATAGCTTGCCCAACCGCCATTACAAGCTGATTACATGTGTAACTCTCACTTGGCGGGACGCCCGAAATTTCAAGGCAGTCTCTCCTTAGATATTCCGCCAGGTTTTCAAAGCCATTCATTGCGTCTTGAGCCCGCTTTGTTGCATCGTCTAGAACTTTCCGCATCTGCCTCAGGCTCGTTCCCTGTCTTTGAATCTTCTCATTAGCTTGTTTCAAAACTGTACAAGTACATCATCGTATTTCCCATTTACGAAATCAACTAAACGTTTTAACTCTTGAAACCCGTTGTTCAGATTGTCTAACTTTCGTTCTAAGGGTTCTATCGTTTCTTTTAAAAGATTCTTAATCTTTTCTCGTGTAATGCCCATTTTTGCGCCGTTTTGGACGGAAGGCCGTTCAAACCCGACTGTCTGCCATCACGGCATATGGTGAGTCGGTTCAAACCCCGGAAAGCCAAAATAAAATTCTTTCTTCCTCGAAAAAGTTAAAGAAAAGATCAAAGAAATCGAAGTGATCTCGAAATATCTCGAACTGAATAAAACCGAAAACCTACAGACTTTGCGTGCCCAATCTTGTCAAAAAATGGCAACTTTGATACATTCCTGAGCGTCGCGAATCCTTTACTTCGCGCTCCGCCGAAGTAATAAGCTGTAAGGCTTTTTGCCGAATTCGCCGATTTAGAAAGGAGAAAGGAATTTTTTAACTTCCGACGTCTTTCTCATTAAAAAAAAACAACTCGCTATTCTTAGAATTCACGTGAATTCACGTGATTCTTCGGTTTTCACTCACGTGAGAAAGCAGAAATAAAAATGGAAACCTTTTAATACAGAAAGTCTAGAATCTGGGAAATGAAAGAAGATAAATATACAAAAAGCCTTGCCAAGAATCAGGTCTATGCAATAGTTCATATGCGAGATTTTCGGAAAAAACGTTTTACCCAAATTTATAAAGATTTGTATGGAGACGCCATGTTTGTGTCCCTATCAGGGTCACTAAAATGGCCGCCGGAAACCAACAGAAACATCGATCTGTTTTTGAGTTTTCCTACTTATGTGCGAATTCTTCGCTTAAGGAACTCATAAAGATTAAAGCAATATTTATTCTAAAACAAGGAATGTTTAGATAGCAAAATCTCCCAAAATCCGTAATGATTTTAACCCGCTTAAGAGGTTTCCCGGCCGCCAGCCAAATGCCGCGTCACGCAAAAGCCTGGAAATTCAAGCCTCCTGTATCGCAAAACAAAGACCCTTTTGAACCGAAAATTTGTTTGTATAAAGGTTTTAAGGTTCTCTAATATCACATGAAAATAGAAACTCAGAAGAAACGATATTAGTTTGAATTTGGTGACGTCATGTGAAAACCAAGAATTAGTGATTTGTTTTCTAAACTTGGATGACCTGCAACGCATTTTGCATGCCCTATTCTACATGTATATATAACTAATTGCTGTTCCATGTGTGGAATTTCATGAAAGTGTAAAATAAATGCACAATTATTTTAAAATCCTCGCTTGTATTAATCTTACAGATCTTGCTGATTAGGTTAGCCTGCCGGCGGATACAGACGTATTTCCGGTCGTCGCTTCTCTCCAGTTTCCACTCGAAAGTGACGAGGCCAACCCGGAAACTTTTCTCGGAAAAACCGGACGAGTTTTGCGTTACGTATTTTCGCTTTACTGTGAGGATTTACCATAAATAATTTGAAAGTGAAATTGCGTAGAGAATGTTGTTAATGGTTCTTTTAAAATAAATATTCTGTGTCTTTTTTTTTTAATAACGTAATTGAAATCTCACCTCAGTGCGAAAGAGTCTAAATATAAAATATCGAAGAAAAATAATTTGAGCAAATACAAATTTTATAATCTCGGTATGAATTTTCTCAGTGAGAAACCATACTTCCTCCAATTTAGTGAACTTTATCTAGTTCTAGTTTTAATCTCATCATTTTATTAATTGAAACTGGTGCAATTGCTTGAACTTCAAAGTAGAAGACTGTTGCCCAAATGTCGATCCTCTCCGCGAGCTACCGGGTTAAAGTGAAACCAAGTATACAGAAATACAAAAGAGGACTTTCATGGTTATCTTTAGAGAAAAACGTGATTCTAGATTTTCACCAGAAATGCTGTTATTAGTTGGAGAGAATCTAGTAATCCCCTAAGTTTGTAAATGAGAAAAATGAAGGACCAACAGGCCCCATTTGTTTCATTATCACTAACTGGAATGTAACATAAAATTAAGCCGCTACAATATGAACCTATTGAATTAGTTGAAGTCGGTCCCATTGCTATTATTATAATGATTTATTGAGATATATTTGGTTTCATTAGTACTTACCCCCGTATTTTGTTAATAAAACTCGACTTTCCAGCTCCTGCTTCACCAGTGATGGCTATGTTTACCTTGATGTGTTTCCAATGGTCCAATTTTGCTTCGAAGAACTCCTTAACATCTGAAAGGCCATTCTTTGCTATAAAAGTATGAAGTTCGTGTGCTATTTTCGTCGTCCACCATTCTTCACCAAAAGGCATTTTATATTTCGGACACTGAAACCTGTAATCGAAATTTTTGTTTCTCAAGAAGAGCGAGTTAAAAGATAGGTTGGGCGTATTCAGAGAAAAATGCTCAGATATGTCAGCGCATTGGTATGTGGGCTTCTCACTTTCAGGAGTATTCATGCCTTTAAGGTCATGAATTTCGATGACGTGTCCGACCCGATGTCCCAGTGACGACTTTGATATAGACCTTTCCCGCATTTCTGTAAACAAAGGCAATGGTGGACAAAATACAGTATTTCACAAAGAGCCTCACATTTTTAATTTTGTGTCCTCACTGCAGGAGCGAAATGTGGTAAAGGTCTGTTGGAACCCCCAAGATATACGGTGTTTTACTCTATTCATCTGCATAGCAAAATAAGTGAATCCCCGCACGGTATATCAGTCCCGATATCTGTAACCCTGTGACTGTGTCCTCGCCGTGCACACACCAATTAAATTTATATTTCCGCGCTATGTACTGATCTATCATCCCTTGACGGCCGGTATATCACGCCGATGATACGTGTACTTGGGGTTCGGTAGGTAGGAAGAACATAAACATTAAGCTGATTCTAGGAAGAAGTGCGTGACGACTCTAGGGTCCGCTATTAAAGTATGAGCTATGTATAAACGTTAGACTCGCTGCACCATTCTTTAATGATTCAAAGTTTCAAGAGACAACGCATTTCGGACGCATCGTTATTAAACGAGTCTTCGAGCATGTTATTACTGAGTGAAGGTATAAGACCTGCAAAGTACGAGAAAGAATAAACAAAAGAGGATGAAAACGGGCTTAGTCATTTGGAACTTTATTATAATATGGAACCCGAAGAAAAATCGTTGATATGCAAAAAAGTAAAAACTCCCGTTTTCATGTGTGCAGGCGACCGCCAGAATTCTCTTAAGATCAAGACTTAGCTTACTTTGGCCTGGGGCCCGTTTCTCGAAAGTCCCGATAATTAACGGGCCCGGTAAGCTGTCTCCGTTTACATTAAAGATCGAGGTTTCAATAGTTTTGCATCTAACATGATAAAACTGTCAGTTAATGAAACTAAATGGAGTAGTTTGCTAGCCAGGACCCGCGCTCTTATTCTTTATATTTCGATTTGAATTTTTGATTTCGGGCCCGTAAAGTTACCGGGACTTTCGAGAAACGGGCCCCAGGTTCGATCAATAATGGAATATGCAGGAGCAATACTTGACTGCCATCTGGGATGGAAATCACTTCAAAGCAGAAGAAAAACAGTGAGACACTGCATGTTGTATAAGCTGCACTAAGTGGCAGCAGACGGAATGTCGAAGCTAATCCGAAGCAATTCGACGCTAGCAGGCATCTTAATTCAAATGTATACAACGTACCATATTCAAGAACTAACTATCACAAGTATTCAATTTTTCTCACGCACAACAAGCTAGGAAAATGGAACTCGTTACCACCCCGCCGAACTTAGACTCTTTCTAAAAGCTCTAGTTGCTTGGCCGTAGCCTTTTGTTTAATCAACATTTCCTTACTTGTTCATTTGATTGTAATTTGCATATTGTTGGTGGATTTAATTATTGCTATTTGCGTTTTGCCGGTAAATGAGATTTATTTCTGAAAGAAATAAATGGTTTTATGCTTAATGTGACTGATCATTATTGTATTTCTCCAGCTATCAGCAAAGGAGGGTTTCCTGTCATCCGGGTGATTTGTCACGAAAGTGTCATTTATGTCACGGGTCATGTAAGTCACAGAAGCGAGGCACAAGGCCTCCTTCCTCGCATTACAAGACAGTCAGAAACATTTTTGATGGCGACCGGATTTAGATGCAGGATGCGTGCGATTTATCAGTCTCTTTCGCTCTTCTTGGGTCTTACGTACCGAGCATCACCTCTTCTTTGAGATAAGTACTAGATTATTGCCCGATGGCTCACCGCTTACTCTCGGTGCTGTATTGATGTCCACAGTCATGTTCGTGCACATGATCGTCTTGTTGATTGCGGGAATTCATACACGTTGCGGTCGTTTATGCTAATGAAATGCCATTGTTTATTGGTAACATCGAATTCTACATCCAATCGACCATTAATTTTTAATGTTTTCAGTTACACTGGCGTGTATGCTAGTCCGTTCGGTGTCCGTAGCACAGTTTCGTTGTCCCTCAGACTGGTTGTGCCTCGTGTTCTTCAGCTACTTTTATCGCTGGTGCCAACGGGCGCTATATTTGAAATCAGTAACACTCGTCCGATCTTCATTTTTATTTATACCAGCCTGGAGCTGGGTCTCTTTGTTTATGATCTTGTTTTATGATTTGGAAAGACACTTTATTTATTCATAATTATTTTGAGTTTGCCTTTATGCACATTTGAGCATTTTTGACCTTTGGACTCAGCTTATATGTATAATTAAAATTACAGTATTATAACAACAACAACAACAAAGCCAAGCAAAACGATGCGTTATTAAACCCTACAGGCTAAAACTTGCATGCACGATACTTTCAGCACTGTTACAAGGTTTTAGAAATTACCCTGCAACCATTCTAACAAAGCTACCTCAGAGGTACAGTGTACTGTATCAGCATATCAGGTTTATCCTGTTGCATTGTGTATCGTTGTGTTCTGTTGTTTTCCTTTAGTCGCTGTCGGCGACATTCTGTCTGCCAGTGCTTACTTCTGGGCCGTTTTTTCAGTGTGAGGCTTTGTTCCTCCACTTGTATTTGAGGCGTTGACCTCATTGTTTTGTTGAGGTTTTGTCCTCATGTTGTATCAAGGCTTTGTCCTTGTTTTTTATATTGAGGCTTCGTCCTCATATTTTATTTTGAGGCTTTGGCCTCGTATTATATTGAGGCTTTGTCCTCATATTTTATTTTGAGGCTTCGGCCTCGTATTTTATTTGAGGCTTCGTCCTCATATTTTATTTTGAGGCTTTGGCCTCGTATTATATTGAGGCTTCGTCCTCATATTTTATTTTGAGGCTTCGGCCTCGTATTTTATTTGAGGCTTCGTCCTCATATTTTATATTGAGGCTCCATCCTCATATTTTATTTTGAGGCTTCGGCTTCGTATTTTATTTCGAGGCTTCGTCCTCATATTTTATATTGAGGCTTTGTCCTCATATTTTATATTGAGGCTTTGTCCTCATATTTTATTTTGAGGCTTCGGCCTCGTATTTTATTTGAGGCTTCGTCCTCATATTTTATATTGAGGCTCCGTCCTCATATTTTATTTTGAGGCTTCGGCTTCGTATTTTATTTCGAGGCTTCGTCCTCATATTTTATATTGAGGCTTTGTCCTCATATTTTATATTGAGGCTTTGTCCTCATATTTTATTTTGAGGCTTCGGCCTCGTATTTTATTTGAGGCTTCGTCCTCATATTTTATATTGAGGCTTCATCCTCATATTTTATTTTGAGGCTTCGTCCTCATATTTTACATTGAGGCTTTGTCCTCATATTTTATTTTGAGGCTTCGTCCTCATTATTTTATATTGAGGCTATGTTCCTCAGTTTGAGGCTTTGGTCCTCATTGTTCTAGGCCCCTGTTGCTTTGTTTGTACTGCTTATTTGATTTGTTTGCAGTGATATGTGTGTGGTTCTGTTTGTTGTATTTTTGTCTAGGGTAACCAGATGCCAATATTATTTGGTTTGAATTTCTTTTCACATTTTTTGCCTTTTTTGTCTATTTTTTAGTCTTTATTCGTGCAATCCGTTATTTTGGTTTACATGCAGCTACATTAATTTTAATCTCCGGTTTTGTTGGCCCCCCTGTTTTGATATGTGTGGACATTACAGTCCTGCGTTTATTGTGATGGGACACTGTAATACGTTGCTTTATGCTTTACTCTCCATGTCACATCAGTGCTTTTAGCTTTGTTGTTTTTGAGGAATTTACTGTTTATTCGTTTTGTTTGGGAGATCCTGATTGATTTATTAATTGGTTACACATTGTTCTTTAATCGTAGCACATTCTGGCTTTTTTAAAGAAGTTGTTTTTATAGTTTTTTCATTTTACTGCAAGTGCTAAGGTATACACATGCAGCTCCCTTTCATGGACGCCTTTTCAATGAAGCCAGTCTTGAGCAGAGTACCAACCAGCTTTATCCAACCATCTTCAGCTTTCCCTTGGCATCTCTCTTAAGAAAGTCAATAGCTCTGCATTCTCTTTGGTTCCTCAATTCAGTTCAACATAGTATGCCAGAAATGTCCCAAAGAGTTGTACACATTCTGCTGATCATTTTTCAGGAGTTGCATCTCTAGTGCCGGGCTACTCAAGAGCAGCTGCTTCGTCGCTTGGCATGTGGCACCTACGTGTACATCTACTTGGGCAGAACTTTTCTCAGACTACTTTGGCTTGCTGGGCATTGTGATTGGGTATACATGTAGCTCAAGTGTATAGGACATGTATGTCATTTGATACTTATGTGCTGGGCAGTGACATTGTAATATGTAGAATTCTCACCACATGAGTCAGGGTCATTCGGCCATCTTACAGTATATTAATTTTTTTTCACTTTATTCACCTGTTAGTTTCCTAGGTGATTTCTGCTTATAGTATAGTTTCAAGGTGACCGTGTGAGCAGGGGCCATACAGCCATCTCACAGATTTTCATTTGAATCAGTTACATCAGTGAATTACGTCAGACTTTTTATTAGTATCATTCAGGGTGACTGTGTGAGCAGGGGCCATACAGCCATCGCACAGATTTATTGTATATAATCAGCTACATCAGTTAGCTATTTCAGACTTTTGATAAGTATAATTTTGCATGACTGTGTGAGCAGGGGCCATACAGCCATATCACAGATTTCCAAATTTAATCCGTCCATTATGTCACTGAGCTATGACAATTTAGAGTAAATTGTTATTATTTAAATTCATGTTTACTGTGTGGGCAGGGGCCATACAGCCATCTTACCGATTAATTTTCACTTCTAATTATTTCAACCTGGTTTAACTTTACAGCTTTTAAACACGTTTGAGCTTCGTATCGATGTGGCATTAGTGAGGCCGATATTATAAGTTGACTGTGTGAGCTGACAGGCTATGCAGCCATTTCCTTTATTCTAGCTACAGTAACCCATTTCTGGTGGTTACATCAATCCACTTCTGTATCCAAGACTTAGGA